CCCAAAATGGTTCTTGCAGTTAAAGGTAACCCGTTAAGTCCAGCATTATATAAGGATTGTAGGAGGTCCGTTAGGCTATTTTGCGAAATATTATTTTTGATTGCCCACGTTTATAACGCCCTGCAAATTTCCTCGCTTATATTTTTGTTTGCAGATTCTTCTGTGCTATCATCACTTTCGACATCTTCAAACAAAAGCCTGTCATCATCGCTATTATATTCATCGATATCTAATTCAGGAAACTCTTCCATAGTGCTGGACGTTAGATCACTATTTATTCCGCGGCAAAATGCTTCTCTACTCGTGGATGGAATATCATCGCTTTCTAACCCAGAAGTCGATTCATTCAGTTTGCGAAACTTCGCAACTGTTGCTTTATAATAAGCCTTTTCCTTACTTATAAGGTTAGAAAGCGTTCTTTTATGCATACCGTAATAAATAATGGTGTAAAGGTACGATCTAATAATAATTCTATTAATAATGATAATAATAGCAATTAAAGTAGTAATAAAAATAATAATATTATAATACTATTATTATAATATTATTATTATATTAGATATTATAATAATAAAATTAATAACAGATAAAATTTATATATATATCTAATCTCCGCTGACTTCTACTGTCTGTATTCCACGACCTGCAAAGAAAATATAAAAATAAAATTTGATAAAAAATAATATATAATAAAAAATATCTCAACAAAACCAAAAAAACACTTCATTGAAACGTCTATATATTATGGCCATAGGCAAGTGTATCCACATATCGTCGTTTAAAGTACAAAACCGCGTATCAAGATAATGCAAAACCGCGTATGTGAGGTTGCATAAATTATATTCCAGAGCGTAAAAACTCTCATATGTCCAAATGGTTTTCTTTTTTGTAAAGCAATCGCATTTCTGGCTAGTATATTTCAGAACGAATGGATAAGGCTTGAGCCAAGAGCTATTGTTAGCTAATCCAATTTTTGGCAAAAAAGGTAATTTACGCGGCTTTGCAGAGCGACGATACGCGGTTTTGTACTTTAAACGGCGATATGTAGCTCTACATATTGTGCCGTATGTATGCTAATTGTACATACATATGTTGCACATATCGTACCTAGACGAAAAGAAAAACTTATTTCCAAAACGCGTTAAGTCCAAAATAGCACCCCCATGACATGCTAATTGTATGTTGCACATATGTACATATCGTCGCTGGAATAATGAAATAGTGTAACATGAAAAGTATAGTTTTGAGAAAAACGAATTGGAAGTTTTTATAAACCATTACAAACCATACAAATACAATTTGGTTTTTCGGGAATAAATTAGTGAGCCAAAGAGATATTTAAGAAAACTAAACATTTTTCAAATAGATTAAAGGATTGTCTATCCAATAGTGCAATTATCGAGTAAAAGTGTATTTGGCATTTACACTGTTTCTTTATTCGAGCGACGATATATATATACATATTTCCACTGCACTTTCCTCTTTTTACCTACATACGTATGTACACATGTACGTCGTTGCAGCTGCGCTTTGTACAAAGGTACTTGCACTTCACTTTCTTTTGTTTAACTGCATACATATCTACACACTTATGCAGTTGCAACTATTTCCACACATATGTATGTATACAATGTAGGTACCCAGCCAGCATTTGGTCGATGCAACTACAACAACTGATGCAAATGCAGCGGATGCAAATATTGTTCCTGACCGAAAATGTCTGTTTTTAAAAACGCATCAATTCTTGAGTGTACAACCGTGAAATGATAATTTACACAATTTACATTCAACTCAGTTGGCACAAATTAAGCAAATTTGCTGTTAATTGGAATTAAAAGAAACTGATGTTTTATATTGTTGCGCTTAGGAAAACAGACATTCTACTGCACTTTTCCCATTTATTGCACCACACTTATTGCTGTTTACATATGTACCTAGTTGCACTTTTAACATACATATGTACATACATATTTGCATTGCACTTCCTTCTTTTTACTTACATAAGTACATTTAGGTACTAATACTTTATTTTTTGTTTATATACATACATGTGACCACATTTATGTAGTTGTAGCCAAAGCTGGCATTCTGTTGCACTTTTCACAGCACTTTCTGTTTACATATGTATATATCTACGTGTCGGCAGTGATACTGCAAACTTTAATTAAATAATCCCTCACCCGTACCTTACAGAAAAAGGAATACATTTTCGTCACGAGTTTAATAGATTATAAATTTTGGCACTCCGGTGAGGGTAACAAATCAGTGCCAGAGGTAATAATTTCTGCAGAGTTTTGCAGTATCACCGACGACATAAACACAAGTAAGTACATACATACATATGGATTTAGTTGCGTCTGGAGCAACCGCGTTTCTTAATATTTAAACCAACGTATTTTATATTTATATATATTTAAACTCACCGAACAATGTAGCTGGAATGTTGTAGGGTTGAGAGTTGTTGGCGACCAATGGCGTTGAATGTGCTGTGGGCGTCGTTGCTGATGTTTGGCAATCTAAAAGAAATAATTACATTATAATCAAATGAAACTGTTAACAATGGTTAAAGGCTGACTTCCAAGTTGGTATATTGCAAAGCATCAGCCTCGTTTATTTATAAACTATAACTGATGGAAATGACCAATTTGCCCAACTAAGTTCCAATTCGGCGTTTGAACATGGTTGCGCTTATTGCACTTTTCCATTAGTTATATTTAGTTTAGAAATAAAAGAGGCTAATGCTTTGCAATATACCAACCTGGAACTCAGCCAAACTATGTTAAATTGGGAAACTTTAGTCTTCTTACCTTCAAGGTTCTGATGGCTTAAGTCTCCTGCTGATGTTTGGCTATCTATGGATATATAAAATATACATATATGTATTTAATAAAAGAAAAATTACATTTAATCAAATTAAATTGCTTCTTACCTCCAAAATTTTGCGCGAAATTGATGTTTTTCTTCGCAGCCTACTAGAATCAAATTTGAAATTCGCTGTCAAATTTCGCCTGATTTTCACTTGCTCGCTCTAACGCATATAATTCTTATTAAGAGTGCGAATTCTTATAGCTACGCTGCTCTTACTTATGGAAACTTTTTTCGACAACTTTTGAGTGTGTGGGTGAGATGACAAAAAAGTTGGGTATGTGTTGGTAAATCATTTGAATTTCAGGGGAAAGTGGTGAGCCGTGGCTGGCAGGGAAGTATCTTATGGTTTACACCGGACAATACTGTCATGACAATAGCAATACATGCACACTTTTTCACTAATACATGCATACTTTTCCAATTGTCTCAATCACTGCCCAGCCAGCAAAAAATCCGAAAACCGATCCGAAAACGCCTTCGGCTGCGCTTAGGAATTATAGCCCTTAATACGCGGAATTGTCCTTCTGTGTTGCCGGAGAAGATTGTTTGAATGAACTACAACAGGTGTAAAGTTGTCACTTAGTTGTAAATGCATTTAAATTTTTTATTACCACTGAATTCTCAAACCTCAAAAGCAGATCATAATTAAATAGTTATATATAACTAAAGATAATGACTTGTACTTTCTAAATAATGTACATTTCTTTAGCATTAATCACGTAATTTTTTCAAAAAGGATTATTTTATTAAAAAATTACGATTTTTTTAGTTTTTTAATATTATGGGCTTTAAAATATGAAAAGTAATTTAAATGAGGTACATGAATTGAAAGATAAATTAATTATCTTTATCTTGACACATTGCATTTTCAAATCGGTTACGTGGTTCAAAAGATATTAATAGTAAAAAAAAATGCAAAAAATTAATTTCAACACTAAATATGTTTAAAACTAGAAGGCCCCGGAACCTGAGAGTGGGTATATTTGAAAAGAGGAGGAGCCCAGATTGCCAATGGCGTAGTCAAAATTTGTCGCCCCTGTTATCGTAATCTCCCCCAGTACTAAACCAAATTTTAATACACCTCATTTCGAAACATAAACCCACCTCATATTGACAAGTTTTAACAATTCCTTTTTTCGTATTTAATTTTTCTTATTTTTTATAAAAATTCAGAGCGTTCTTTAACAAAAACTATATAAGTCCAATTTAAAATTGTGCGCAATATATAAAAAAATCAGCAAGTTTTCCTAAACACATCGGTAACAAAATGATCTTCTAGTTCGATACATCGAACGATCGATGTAATTTTTCGAAACATCGATTTTTCAAACATCGATAGTCTAATTTACTACTTTTATGCGACAGAATTCGTGAATTTTTCATTTCATGAATTCAAAAATTGTTGCGTTTATGCATAATCGCGAATTCATGAAAGGAAGTGTTTTGAAAAAGTGGCGGCGCACTAGCGCGAAACCAAACAGCAGGGTTATGGTATTTTCCCAATTTTCTTTTACTGTGTCGTTGGTACCAGGAAATAGTCCATGTTATACTTAAATCGGTTTTAATGCATTTAAACTTCCTCTACATATTTGTATAAATCCACGTAACTATTTGTTTTAATTCATGGTTGTATCATTACATGCTTTTGAATCTAAAAACGTCATAACCCTAGTAAACAGCTGATTGTGAAACGCGGCGTTGTCGGACTAGCACTTCACCAGTACATGAAATGATGCCGAAAGTCATGGTTGATTTCCGTGTATAATTGAATTCATGAAATTGTGTGTATGCAGCCAACTTTAACCCAAATTCATACGCATAAGCTTAGTAATTGTGATTAACAACCCTAAATGTAATGTTATTACAACAAAAAAATTGATTTACTCATCGTCGTTTAAACCAACTGTCACTGCTGATCAGATTCTTGCCTTTGTACATCAGGATACTAACATTGATAAACAAGAATGCTATGCTACTATGGCCAGCCAATACTAAAATACGCCCGTTTAATTTTTTACCAAAAACGCCAACTGCTACGCAAGCAACTTAACAAATTCATTGCAAACTAAAGTTAAATTTAATCTCAGAATTTACTTCCAAAATATGTCTGGAATTAGAACCAAAACGCACATAATTCGCTCTTTTAGTTCGGAGCTTACCTACGACATTTATGTCTTTGTTGAGACTTGGTTGACGTCGGATTTTTATGACCACGAATACTTCGATGCTAATTTATTTACTGTTTACCGTAAAGATCATGATGCTGTCAAAACAGGCTGTACTATAGGAGGTGGAATACTAGTTGCGGTCCGTCGTGTGTTTCGCTCATTAGTTGTGGCGGTTGAAGACAATAATTCAATCATTAGCCAACTATGTATTCGCGTCTGTGGAGCATTGAACCCACTTTTTGTGTGTGCTTCCTATATACCTCCGCATAGTTCTGATACGCTTTATAGTTCTCATCTAAATAATAATAGTGCTCTAACTGTGTCTATTATTGATGGAAACCAACTTTGTGTTCTTGGAGACTTTAATTTGTGTAATGTTATTTGGTTGCATATGTTTAACAATACTAATTTAACGCCTTCTAATGTCGAATCTCCTTCTGAGATCTACTTTATAAATAATATTCTTGCTCTTGATCTTATGCAAATAAATGGCTTTTGTAATAAGCTAAATAGATTCTTATACATTATCTTTGTTAGTAAAAATATGAACTTTAATATCTCCGATTGCTTAACGCCAATAACACCTTGTGGCATGCATCACATTCCTATAGTACTTAAACTATAATTTTATCAATTTCATAAATTCTCTCCACCTGCAAGACTTTCTTTTAATTATAATTCTTGCGAGTTTATCGCTTTCCTACTCTCCTATGATTGGGATTAGTTACTGTTTAATCTCAATGTTTATTTATTTAGTTATTTATTTATTTTTTAATCTAGAAAATAAAACATTTAGTAAAGACTATTTGGCAAAAGATAAAATATAAATTAATAACTAATTAATAGCATACTACTTAAAAGTAGTTTGAAATTAAATTTGGAAGAAGAGAAATCGATAGCAGAAGAGTTTGAGAGCGAGTTAAACTCATTTAGAGCTCTGCGAATAGGAGCGTTATTCGCATAATTATTCCTGACGAAGTCCAGAGAAAAAATATCGTGATTCCTAAGGCTTCTTGGTGGGATATTAAATGTAATCCGTTCGAGTGAGAACGGCGAGTCAATGGCACCCCGAATAATATCAAAAACGAAAGTAAGAGAGCGAACAATCCTCCTATTGTGCAGTGATTTAAGGTTTATGAGCAGAGATGGGCACTACCACAAACAAGCGTGAGCTAAAAGTGGGAATGTATTAGTGTGTCTAATTCATTTTGCATTCTATCGCGTTCTCATTGTTACGCTCTCGTTTCTATAAGTACACGCGATACTTACTCTCTTTTAGCACCTGCTAAGTCTCCGCCCATGCCTGTTTATGAGCATGCATCTAGCAGTGTAAGATGGGAAAGGGTTAACAAAATGTAGAGAGCGTAGAGCATAACGATTGAAAGATTTTTGGATTCGTTCAATTCTGTTTATATGACAGTCATAATATGCTCGCCAGATGAAGACAGCGTACTCGAGCTTAGAACGAACAAGAGAAGTGTATAGTAGTTTTATGGTATATCGGTTTTATGGTATGGTAAATCGACGGATAAATGCGAGCATTGCATAAGACTTAGCAATGGTATAATTTAAGTGGCTGTGAAAAAGAAATCTAGCATAAAAAATGACTCCTAAGTCAGAAACTTCATCAATGGTGGCAAGCTGCGAGTCACCAGTTAGATAAGAAGTCTGGGTAATGGAACGAGATTTGGAGTAGGAGACATGGTAACACTTATTTGTATTTAATTTTAATCTATTTTTGGAGCACGAAGCAACAACGTTATTAAGATAAGCCTGTAGGTTGATAGAGTTTGAAACATTTGTAATCGAAGAGTAGATTTTCAAGTCATCCGCATACAATACAATTTTTGAAAAGTTTAAGCAACTAGAAATATCATTGATGAAAATCACGAAAAGTATGGGACCCAAGATACTNAGAGCACGAAGCAACAACGTTATTAAGATAAGCCTGTAGGTTGATAGAGTTTGAAACATTCGTAATCGAAGAGTAGATTTTCAAGTCATCCGCATACAATACAATTTTTGAAAAGTTTAAGCAACTAGAAATATCATTGATGAAAATCACGAAAAGTATGGGACCCAAGATACTCCCCTGAGGAACACCAGAGGATGCGACAAAGGGATAGGAGTACACATTATCAACTACAACAACACAATTCCGTGAAGAAAGATATGATTTTACCCACGATAAAAAAGCGGAATGAACGCCTATGCTAGCCATTTTTGAAGTTAAGATTGAGTGACTGACTTTGTCAAACGCCTTAGAAAAGTCCATGTATACGGTATCGACTTGCAGACGGTTATTAAAGGCAGTTAAACAGAATTCGATAAAAACAGCAAGGTTAGTAACAGTGGACCTTTCAGGCATAAAACCATGCTGATTAACAGATAACAGTAAAAAAAAACTCAAATAATTTGGATAATAATAATAATAATAGATTGGCGCTTACACATATGTTAGTGTTTGGCCGAGCTTCTCCTCCGATTTGTGGCGTGCGCCTTGATGTTGTCACACAAAGCGGAGGGACCTACAGTTTTACGCCGACTCCGAACGGCGATTGTATTTTTATGAGAAGCTGTTTTTCATGGCAGAAATACACTCGGAGGTTTGCCATTGCCTGCCGAGGGACGACCGCTGTTTAGAAAAAACCTTTTTTCTATATTTTTTGGAATGTTGCTTTGACCAGGGCTTGAACCCAGGTGCGGATGTGTGAAAGCGCGCACTGCTTACCACTACACCACAGCGCTCAAATAATTTGGATATCGTTGGTAATTTAGATATTGGCCGATAGGTGCTTATGTCGTTTTTATTACCACTTTTGACTACGGGGGTGATAAGAGTGGTCTTCCAAGCATCTATAAACTCACCCAGTTCAAGAGATTTATGGAAAATCAAAAAAGTGGATATGCAAAAGCAGAACAATTCTTCAAAAGGAATTACGATATTCCATCAACATGGGTTTGAGTTGAAGATTTGATATGCCGGATACCATCCTCAACATCATCAATTCATATAGCAAGCGAACCAAAATAGATTGGAGAGTGAGCACTCTGAGGATAACAGCCACATGGATCCGAATCTATCTCAAAGTTAGAGCGAAAGAAATACGCGAAAAGATTGGTAGCTTCAGAAGGAGTAGAAGCTTGCCCTTCATCATAA